TTATTACTTTAATAGGGACATAATACAAAAAACACTTGGATCAAGTGGTCTAAATTGTAAAAAACCTTTATAAATTGGTTTTTTTTTTATATTATATTTTAAAAAAAAACTTTTTTAATAGTAAGAAACATTTGAATTATGTCCTTGTCTTTAATTTAGGAACCTATTTTTACTTTTATGTTCAACTTTTCATATCAGTTCTTTTGTTATTTTCTATAGTAAGTTGCAACTTATTTTCTATTTGTTCATTCATTCTACTGTGAAGACCTATTGTAAAAAAAAAGAAAAAATTAGATTATGTGATTTTGAGTTACATAATTGATGATTGGTTCAAAAACTGTATAAGAATATTATAAATATATTATAAATCTAAAGTAGTAATAATGTAATTAGCATTAAATTATATAATAAGTAATAAAAAGTTCAAAAATTTTCTTATCTCTTGTATTTTTTCAATAATCTTTTTAAGTTTCTATATAAAAATTTTATTATTTAGATATATATTAATAATAATTAATGAATTAATTGTATTAAAGTTGATTGTAATATAAAAATCTTAATAAATAAACTTATTTGATCAAATCATACACTTTGCTTTAATCAAAGTTATCATCAATATTGACAGTCTTGTTTATACACTATTACAATTAATAATTATAAGGTTTAAATATTTATTTTCTCTGATATTTCATGCATACAATTATAAAAAAAAATTTTGTTAATTACAAATTATTTTTTCACTTTAAATAAAAATAAAAAACCAAATATACTTTTTGATTTCTTTTTATATCTTTTATTTCACTTTACTTTTTTTTTTTCCTTTATACTTTTTTTTTTATTCTTTTATTCTATAGATCCAACAAAGGCATAATAATGAATTGGCACAAATATTAATCTATACTATAAGACTTAAGTAGAATAATTGAATGATCTAAAGTACTATATGATTATCTGTATTGTATTATAACAGAACAATTAAAAAAAACCAGTAGAGATATCTGTTAATCAAAAATAACTAAGAAAAATAATTGATAAATCAAAGAATATAGATTTGAAAGTAGAGTAAGAAAAGACCCATGGTCTTAGATTAAACACTTAAAGCCATCAGTCAAAGAAACTAACCAAAATTTTATATAAATATTATTCTGAATACAATCTATAAGATAAATGATTTGATTGATTAATCAAGATATTAGATTAGTCTAATATATAGCTACCTATTATATTACTGTAAACACTTTTTTACACTTAATTATTTAAAATTGTAGTAACTAATTTTTTATAAATTTTTTAGCATATATTTATTGAAACTTGATATATAATATATTAAAATTTTATACAATTCCATTTAGTCATGCAGAAGTTATATGGCAATAACTCAGCATTATCTTTTTTGTATAAGACTGAAAGCAAAAATTTATTTTTTTTTTGCTTAAAATTTTTGTTTAAAATTTTTGTCGAATGTTGTGCAACATGTGAGCAATGTTATACAAAATTTTAAACAAGATTCGTGTACTACAGATCACTATAAAAAAAACAATTAATTTTTTTTTTTTAATATAGGTAACAAAAAGAATTTGATAAAAAGACAAAAAAGTTCTGTCATCTATGGATACCTAAGAGGAGATTCAGTATGTCAGATTGCAACCCTTGTGGGCTGTGAAAAGACTACCACCTGAAATATAATAAACAAGTTTCATAAGTCAGGTGAATTTGTGCAAGAAAAAAAAATAATATCCTGGACATCCAAGTTTTCTCACTTCCACTGATTATAAAAAACTAAAAAAATTAGTTCAAAAAAATTGTTGATTAATTCTCTCTCAGATCACTACCCTTTTCATAATACAAAAAAAAAAAAGTTTCTGAAAGTATTATTTGTTATACTTTATATAAAAAAAACTTAAGATCATGTGTCACTCATCCCAAGCCATTTGTTTTTTTCACCAATATTAAAAAAAAACTCAATTGGGCTCATACTTATGAAAGTTGGACTGTTCGAAAGTTCAAGCATATCTTGTGATTTTATGAAACCACAATTTATTTTTTTCAGATCTCTTGTTATCAAATTTGATGTAAACCAAATGAAAAATGAAATCTGGAATGTTTAAGTAGCACTATTAATTATAGCCAAGGTTGTATGTATTGGGACTGTTTTTCTTGATTTGGGGTTGGGCTCCTTATTTCTTTAACAATCTCTGCCACTAATGCATCTTATATAAAAATTCTTCATGAATATGTTGTATCATTTTTGAAAAAATATCCAGCGATTTTGAGTTGTGTTGCTTTGTTTTTTAACAGGATAATAAAAGACCTTACATAGCAAAAATTGTAAGAAAATTTATTAACAAAAATAGGATTCAGATAATGGATTGGCCCTTCAAAATCTGAATCTGAATATAATTAAAAATCATTAGTTTGAAGTGAAAAGAGTTATGCGTCGTAAGTTAAAATTGAATAATCTCCAAGAACTTGATGTCATTATACAAGAGACATAGAATAATATACTACTTGAGTTTTGCTATTAGCTGATTGTAAGTATGCTGAATCATGTTACCGCTTGTTTAAAAGCTATGGGAGGACCTATGAAAGATTAAAATAGAATTTTTAGTAAAAAAAATCAAAAAAAAAATTTAAAAAATCAATTGTGATTTCAGTTTAATAAAAAATTCATGTCTATAGTCTTTCCCGCATAACTCTTGCAAAATAAAACAAAAATGTATAAAAATTTAGTATATAATACCTTGATAGTTACTAAACACATGATAAAAATTTATAAAAAATTAGTTATTACAATTTTAAATAATTAAGTATAAAAAAGTGTTCACAATAATATGATAGGTAGCTATATATCAATAAAGTTATGTATCTTTGCATATTTGCTTTAAAAAAAAATTTTTTTTAATTAATATAGAATAAATAATATTAAAATAATAACAATTATTATATAAATTTTTTAAAAAAGATAAACTTTGTTCTTTTTTAAAAAAAACTATTAAATAATAACAAAAAATTTTTTTTTGTTAAAATTTTTATTTTTTATCAAAGTTATTATATTTTCATATATAAAATCTAAAAAGAAAAATCAATTAATTAGAAATTAATAATATAGTTGTTAACTTAGGTAAAAAGAAAAAAAAATTTTAAAAAAAAATAGTATAAAAATTTTTTTTAATTTTAATAAAGAAAAAAAAATACAAAAAATTAAGTATAAAGAAAATTTATAAAATAAAAATTATAAAATAAAATAAAAATAATAATAATAAAATAAAAAAAAACAATCAAAAAACAAAAAGCAAATAAAAAAATTAATTTAATTTAAAAATTTTTTTAAAAAACAAATTTTTAAATATAGAAAAAGAAGTAGAAAAAAGTTTAGTTGAGATAATAAATAATATAATCATAATAATTTATAAAAAATTTTTTTATAAAAAGTCTATTACAAATTCATATTATTGATTAAATAAAAAAAAATTAAATAAGAAAAATAATACATTTATTATAAATATAACAATAACAATAACATATTTGATTTTATAAATCTTTGCTAATATTAAAATTGAAAAGATTTATAAATTAATCTTGTTTAATTATAGTTATTATTGATATTTAGAAATATTTTTTTATTGCAATATTAGAAAAAATATGATTTTATAAAAATTCATTATTTTCTTATAATGTTATTTTTAAATCAAAAAAAAGTGAACAAAAACAATTATTTAATACAAAGTTATAGGGTATTGAAATAATAACAGGAATTTGAATTTTTAATTAAATGTGGATGATATTTCAATTTTTCAAAAAAATGATTTCTACAGAGGAAAAACACAACATACAGTATGTACATTTCTGTATGCACATCTATTGTATATTCATTTATTTATTTATTTATTGGAACAATAGAAATCACATTGTTCCAAGTTATCATGAGAGAAATCAACAGTATATAACAGTATGTAAAGTATGTGAAAAATGAAATAAAAAGATTATTGTTTTTTTTTTATCAAATCCAAAATTTTTTGATTAAATTAATGTGATCACTCCTTGGGTTAATGTACAGCATACAATTGAAAATTATCAGATAAATACGATTGATTGATTCCGTGCATGACTTAGCGCGCCAAGAATAATATATTAAAAGTACAGTATATGCAGTATATGCGGAAAATCAATTGGTTGTTGAAATTAAAAATAGATGGTCCAATGATTTTTTGTCCGCTGCATATGTTATTCGGCATGGGATACTGCATTGATAATTTAATACCGATATACTGTAGTTTTTTATATAACGTGATCTGAAAAGTACGAAATCGAAATATTATTGTTTATTATAAGCAATAGATTATTATCGAGGTAATGACATTACCCTAAATTATGATAAACTGGTATATCAATTAATTAAAGGATTACAAGTAACAGGAAAATTTTTTTTAAATATTTGTTTATTCATATCATTTCAGGTGTAATAATGCGTATTACTTGAAATGCTTAACACAGTATATTTCAAGTTTTTTTTTTCATATTACACATCACTTTTGCTGGCATAATAGAAGAGCGAGCAAAAGATGAGCGGAATCTTACACACATTACTGAAATCTTTAATAAATACAAGAATTCGACGAAAAAAAAAAAAAAAAAAAAAAATCCTACTAGCAAATTCAAAGAATACCCACTCAATCCTTTTTTCTTTCGAGGCCTTTCACCACAACATTCCCAAGGCACCCTCAATCCTGCGTTTTTTTTTTTTTTTCACTTTTTTTTTTTTTTTATAGCTAAAAAATTTTGGGGTTTTGATTTTTTCACTTTTTTTTTTTTTTCGACTTCGCATATCTGAATACCTGAGATTAAATAAACTCGTTACCCTTGCAATGAACGAGTAAATGATTCGAAACCTTATTGCATTTATGATAATTGCTTACGTATTTCAAAATTTGAACTTGATTTGATATATAAATGTGGTAAAATGAAGCAAATGGTGACCGTACACAGTTTCTCAAAGGATTTCACCATTCCTTGTTCACTGCGGTAACCCCGTTCGCGGTGAGGTCACACGTTTCTTCATCTGCCAGCAATTTCTGCTGGACTGTCCACTTTGTCACAGATATGGGTGGTCGACCACGAATGTAGACTTGATTGGTGGCAGGCATCGTCTGTGCCGATGGCGAAGTGCATGTGGTATTGACGTTTCGAGGTCCTGGAAGATATTGACTTAGTTGAATTTGACTTAGGTTGTATGAAGATTGATTACTAACGTTAGTTGCATTTATGCGTGATGGGTCAAAAGTTTCTATTGATGAAGAAAACTGATGAGAAAACGTTGCCGGGGTTTCTGAACTTATTGACGATGCAGTCATTGTCCCAGACTGTAGATTAAAGTTTACGGTTAAATTTGTGCTGTCAACCGACACAGGTTTGTAATTTATAGAATCATTCAAAGATAAAACCGATTGTTCATTAATGGTTTCGGACAAATTCATTGTCGGATGAAGCGTCGGATTCGTGGTCAACAACGATGTCGTCGATGACTGAGAGGTTGACGATGAGGATCGCATTCGACCTGTGATATCCGTCAATTGATTGAATACATTTTCAATATTTCGTGGAACTGAGTTCCCTGAGGACATGAAATCACCTGTAGAATGACTTCCGTTATTTTGATACTGTTGCTCGTGGTGAGTTGTGGACAACGAGGAAGCGTTTGTTGATACCGAGGTGTGACGTGACGGAGAACTGCCTTGAAATTGCCTGCTCTGCGATTGTCCTAAGGGGCAACACATACATGTCTTAGTCGAAATTGAGAATGTTCAAAGGGAAAGAACAGTCAAAAATAGGATTTACCTCGGCTTAATGTGGTCACCAAGACTTGGTATAGATTGTTCAACACAAGGTCTTGCGCAGCAAGATTTCTTCGAAAGGTGATTATTTCCTCCAGGATGGTACCGCAATTCTTTGACAGGACATTCATCTGACCTGCCAATTCTGCATGCAGCATGGTCAAGTGTTCCACCTGAGACCGTAAATCCTGATTGCCATTATCGGGAAATGTTGGTAGGGGATTGACGATTATTACATTTTCGGCATTGCTTGTGCCATCATCGAGGGACGAATCGTCGGTTGCTGGTTGCTCATCCGTTCTCGCATGTATTGGCCTATTGCGTGGGGTTGGAATTTTCCGCTGATCACGCAGGTGAGGAAAAAAAAGGATTGGTTAGGAATGTTTTTGGTTCACAAATTTCCTTAGCACACAGATCATCCTTTGCATCAATGATACCTTGATTTCTTCTAGTAAATCCCTGCGGTTCAATTGAAATTTTGGATGTTGAAACTCCCATGCCTATCATACGCGGATAACGGTGTAAAATGAATAAAACGTGAATAAAATAAAAATAAAATCGACAAGATCTACGTGGCGCAGATATAGGAAAATTTTCCATATCGACGATATAATGAGCGAATACGTATACGGAATTTGGTTCTATCAATTATTTCCATTAATGTAAAGTATGGTTTAGAAGGTGACGGAGAATCACCGGATAATCGCATGAGATCGAATTTCCTTTTAATTGGTTCTTTCTCTCGCAGACTCACGCATTGTCAGCATTCGGGTGGTGGATAAACTAGCCGAATCAGGACACCGGCAAATATCTTTTTAAATAATTTGTATGAATCGGTTATGCATTACTACAGCTGAAATGTCGGTGTCACCAAAAATAGGTTGTTGCTGGGTTGGGTTGTCGATTATAGTAATACGACGTGTGATTTGATAATTTTTATCCGTAATTGTCATAATCGGGTTAACATTAATCTTTTTTTTTTTTTTACCTGTTCGCTATACTGTCTTATCTCTTCGTCGTTACTTTTTATCTTGTGGAAATCGTATTTGTTTAGTTGTCTTACGAAGCTTGCCATGTTGTTGTGCTTAAAATGTTGGGGTAATATTGTTCTGGCGAATTCGGTGGGATCGTGAACGACAAAGGTGTCTCCGGTTGCCCCCCAAGAAACAATGTTCGAATATGATTTATCCTCAAGCATCCTGCGAGGAGAAGTATATAAAAAAAGAAGAGAGAAAAGAAAGAGCATACCAGTAAATTATTTTTACTTTTTTGAAATTGAGAGATCGTAATTCTAATAGCGAATAAGAATGAATGATAGAGATACGCAGTGCACGATGTGCAAAGTGTATGCGCATAAAGTTCAAAAACCACGTTTTCAATTTTTTGGTCAAGCATTTATCGTGTCAATAAAAAATTTCATCGTCCCGTCGGCGAAGACGCGCGACTTCATGAATTCGCTCGTGTTCGATTTACAGTCCAGAGCTTGCGCCCGCATGACGTGTACGAAATTGCTTGCGTAGACTCTTCCGTTGTTCCTGAGGGGAACGGAAGTACATAAATCACGCAACTTTGCATCTTCCTTGATTGTCAAGGGTTGAACGATCGCGAACGCGAATCCAAGGTGCTTTTGGGTCAGCCACATTTCTTTCCTTGAGAAACGAGACCTCGGGCACACCAATTTTGGAGACCGTGAGCAAAGAAGTTTGAAAGTAAATTTTTACATCCAGACCAACTTTCATCGAAATCTCCGTGAACCAACTCGATTCCCAGGGGAAGCAAAGGGACAGAACGCGTCCAAAGAAAATACTAACCTATAAAGTCTCTTTATGAAATCAGCAATGTTTGCTGCGGCACAAGTCATTTTTTTTTCCCTGAGGGTCTTCGACGTGTGGGAGGAACAAAATTTAAGAGGTCGGAAATATATTAATTGGAGGCTCCACCGATGGTCATCGCAGGATAGTGTTAAGAATAAAGTTCGGCGAATAGTCACAAAAAAAAAAAAAAAAAAAAAAAAAAAAAAAAAGAAAAACTCGTATCGATTAATTACTAATGTAAAGAAAGAGATATTATATGTATGTGATTTTTTGGTGACTGATTTATAGTCGATTGGGGGAATGATAACCGTAAGAGAAAAAAAAAACGTAGATCCACCACCACCATTAAATATAGTAGAATTGAGGTAAACCTTATTGTTGATTTGTCCGACACCTGATTGAGATCATGCAATATATAAATATAAATATATATATATAATAAAGGAATTATATAAAAAGATCCGCGCCAAAGTTAAAAAAAATTTTTTTTTTTGTATTGGGAAAAAGTAGAAGGTGACTGATTAAGAAAGAATTGAATCCAAGACGTCTTTATATTGGATGTCGCAATGTGCTAATTTTGTGCAAGGAGATTCTCGGATGGCACCTAAGCGTGGTCGATACGTGTGCAGTGGTTGTGTCGCATATGCAACAAGAACGTCTCTCAGGTCTCAATGTGACAACGAAATTTTTTTTTTAAAAAAAAAAAAAAAAAATTCAGGAAAAATCCCGATATTTATAGGCTACTAATCACGCATACACAATTACATAACCTAGACCTTATGCATATCGTTATACATGCAATTGGTTAAATTTGCCGGGCATTCTGTGACGGAATTTTTTTTTTTAACAAGGTTTTTTTTTTTTTGTTTGAACCGGTCACCGTTATCATCGTTAATGCGTGCACCTACAACACTTAATCTTAAATTCCATATTCTGTTGATGCAGAAATTCGAATATATAAATTAGCATATGACATTATTATTTTATTTACGTGTTACTTTGATTTTTTTTTTTTTTTAAATTATACATGCCGTATATATATACAGTATGTTTGCTAGAACAGCAGGTTAGTTAGGCGTATGGATTTGTTACTAGTTACAATGGATGTGAGAAGTAAGAAGAATATGTATGCACTCGTAAAAAAACAATCACGCATGATAATAAAATAAGACACGTAAGAATGGTCATATGTAATGTGATGAGATGGCGGTTAATAAAAAATTGGTATAAAGGATGCATATAGTGTGTTTGCGATTTTCATCAAAAAATTCCCGTTGTCCTTCAGGAAAATCCTTTGTTCTAACCGGATATCTTCCAGTTTCACAATCTAATTCGAGGGTTGAGCATACATGAAAAAAATAAGTGCGCTAAGCGTACGTAAGTACAGCACGTACAGCACGTACGGTAGCGATAAGGCGTAGATCATTCATTACTTGCATGTGTCTAACCAATATTTGTATGACGAGTATATTTGGGTAATTCTTTTTGAAGGCGGACAGGGATTTTTCTGACTTTATAATTGTACTCCTAGAATTTATATTGTATATGTATTGTTCAAAAAATAGGGATCAAAAAATCGTATATAACATTTTTGTCGTTTTCAAAAAGAATTAGCCATTTATGAAACTGTTTTAGGAGAGCCCTTAAACATTCTATAAACATTCCACCAAAAGAAGCGTTCACTTGTTTTATTAAGCCTACTCTGGTAAGCATTGTTAACGCTGCGGAGTGGCAAATGATCTGAAAGGCATTTCGCGCGCGCAATTTCACCCTGCCTCAATGATCACGAATCGATTGTTGATTGTACGATCGTATTGTTCTGACAGGATTCTCTTGATTCCCAACATCGTTCGCACATGTTATTCTTGATGCATCCATCGTCAATAGTTAAAAAATAAAAATAGAACAAAAATTGGTACGTATACTTTTACGGACAAACATAAATCGCATTCGGAGATGAAGTTAAATTATGGTCAAGAGTCGGTGTAGACTGTGGGTCAGGATAAAATAGACAATGGTATGTGTCGCCGAATAAAGGCGATGACCAAACTAAATATGGATTCACTATTGTTGAAATTTGTGCCGGGAAATAATGCCGCAACAATATATCACGCACACGAAATTAGGTAGTAAACATCGACCCCCTTTTGTTTTTATGGTGTGCGTTACACATCTCGTAGTACATCTTGCCTTTATCCATCAGATATGAATGTCGGTGTTTATCAGATAGAAATGCTTATGTTTATCGGATACATGAATGTTCATAATTAAATTGAGGAAGGGTTCGCATAGTAAAAAAGAAAAAAAAAACTGTAGAATGTAGAATGGGATTCACCGAATAATAAAGTAAAGATCGCACGATTAACGAACATCGTGTTATCTTTTTTCTCAGGGAAATCCAAGTTTAACCATCCCCTGCATACAAATAACAAATATTTAACTCAACAAAGTCCAATTGGCAAAAGAAATATTAATAAATGTTCGCACATGAACTTACGAGAACGCACGACGTCCTGTATCGTCATCTTACGTTGGATGATGGTAGAGAGGAGACAAAGAATTGCATACGTCTTTATGATCAAGCTGCTCACACAACAGCGCACCCACTACCATTAATACATGTCCACATTTCACAAGGTTTTACCTACCCCAGCGCACATTTTCCCCCTCTAATGAACTAACAATATTAATGCCTCTCCAACTAACTATTATCCTTCCTAATATTATCACCCTACCATCGTACAAGGTTTTAGAGTCGAGTCCGTGTGACGGCGCCATTACTTAAATTGGTCAACATCTAAATTGCCAAATAAATTGACACGAGGAGAAATTTCCCGTTTATGGTAAAAGCATGTTAGCTGCATTGTGGATCATCGTAAACTGTAATGTACAATTTTTTTAGTAATTTAATCCGATCCAAAGGTCCGGTGACGATTTTTCGGAAAAATAGTCGGGTTCCTTTCGATATCTGATTTGGAAAATAGTCGTACACACGTACCTACCTCCCTCGCGTCCTGCGAATCTTTGATAAATAAAATGATGTCAACTATATGCTTGCCCTTTTCGTTTTTCATTGGCGTCCATACCTTTCTCGGACAAGCTCGTCACACCACATCAACACACTTTACAGCAATTGCCGTATATTGACCACCCTTACGAAAATCTAGAAACGCGTCCAATCGATTCGTCGTTATTGCACCCGATTGGTCAACAACCTTCAACTTTTCATGTGGGACGCGTGAATCTTCTCTTTTTTAATGCGTTATCACCCGTAAGATAACCTGTTGTTTGTTGTTATTGTTTATCGTGCGTCTATATACCGTGGCGCCAGAAGATTAACATGAACAAGAACACACCTTTCGTCACATAGTACACACTATCATGTGAGGCTTAGCGTGGTTTCAGGAAGAATATGATGCGTTATGTAGCTTGTTGGTTAACAGGTTCCGGTTTTTTTTCTCAGTGGAGCCCCACGGAGCCTCAATTCATTTATGTCGTGCGTCCTTCTGAATAAGATCGTGGTTCGCTTCCAATGAGTTTGACTTCAAACAACGTCGTTGCCAAATTAGGATTTGCAGCCCTTCTCGTGAAACTCCTTTTCCTTTAACCGGTAGCATTTTCATGCAAGACCAACTTAAATTTCCTTATTTTACTTTTGTATCCCTTGACGTCTCTCCGGGAATGTCTTCCGAAATAACCTTTTGAGTAACCTCGAAAGTCCCTTGCCCCTGAAACTGGATTCTTGTTCTTCTTCTTAAACATCATCTTGTTTTTGAGCCGAAATCCCCATTGGAAATTAAATCAAATTAAATTCATCCTTTTTTTTTTTTTTTTTTACCAACATGTGAGGAAGATGATCCCGTCTGCGACGAATAACGGTGAAACCTATGCGACGATTAGTCTGTCGGTAAAAGCTCGGTAAATTAAATACGTGCGTAAAAAGAGTTGATGTATCACACAAATATTATGAATTGTCGTTACATATATTTTTTTTAGCGGAATCCGAATAATAATAATAAGTAATATAACACCTTTCTAAATTGGTGTGTTTATTATATAGATAGTGGTAAAAATCGTATCATAAAGTACGGGTCCACTTTAAAAAAGTATGCTAATAATCGGAAATACGTTCGCGCACAAAACATTTGATGGTAGATCCATACCGAAAAAGATGTCTGAGGACGGTTGATTGTAAGATTCCGACATGTAACTATTACATAAATGAATACCGTAATGTAAGTTTCGCATGTAAAACTGATTACTCCCCTTTATTGTTTTACACCAAAAATTCAGATATGTGTAATTATTATTATATTTGCATATATGATAAGTTAATCTGGTCATTTGACGACATCCCCTTCCTCAATTGCGATGTCACGCTTAGAATTTTACAGTATGGACGCCTAAATTTTTAATAATAGAAAATCTCACACACACAAAAGTACTTGCGGACTGCAAAAAACTTATCTGGTTTTACGAACCATTATTCGCAAACCTCTATTTAATTTTAGATTAATTAATTTTTTCAAAAAGCACAATGTGCTCAGCTCAGCATACTTTTTCAAGATGAGCTTTATGTAATGTTCAATAGATGCACCGAACGTCCATCTGTTTTTCTTCTGCTTATTTATTTTTCCTTTTTCTTTTTTTCCTTCTTTTTCTCATTGACTCACCATAACCGTTATATCATTATCATCATTATGCATTACTTTATCACTCGCAAACAACATCGTCCTTGTATTCATTCTTTGTGTGCTCCCCATACAATTATTGATTTCGTATACAACTCTGTTTGTTTATTGCTTGTTTCTTTTCTTGCGCATAAGTATACTTTGCGTAGATATATATGGATATATGATTTCAGTTTTTGTTATAAAATTTACCGTCACCCAGTGATCTCTGACCCGTATGTATGCATCTACCGAACATTCGTATGTACAGTATATGGCTCGTAGTCCCAACATCATGATAATTAATTTAATCATATATTGTATACTGCATTTGAAAAAAAAACATCAGGAACGTTTCGAATTATTTATTCGTTTTG